GTGCTGCTGACCACCTCGCCAGAGGAGGAGCGCAACGACCCGCGGGGGTTTGTGGCAAAGGTGGGCGGACGGCGCAGGTGGGGATGCAACATGCGGTTCTGGTGGGTCAGGGTGTGCGCGCATCCAGCACGCATTTGCACACGCGTGCGCACGCAGCACGCACGCGCGCACACCCTTACACACATACATACACGTGCACACACACACACACCACACGCCCGTGCGTGCGCACGCACATGATACACAAACACCTCGCACACACTCCCCCAGGTGTCTGACTTTGGCCTGAGCCGCAGCGTGGGTGACGAGGACGGCGTCATCGCCACGCGGTCCTACGGCACCGTGACGCACATGCCTCCGGAGCTGCTGCTGGAGGGCCGCATGAGCAAGGCCGCGGACGTGTACAGCTTCGGTGCGCGCCCGACAGCCCTGGCCCGGTCCCGGACGCACACAGATGCAAGCCTTGGCTGCGCCTGTAACCCCCTTACTCTTTCATCGGTACTCGCAACATCAAAGGCATTGACGAGAGGCTTTTCGGGCGGTTGCGCCTGCTGCAACACAGGCTGTATGCGTGAATGATTGCAAGGTTCCACCTGGCGGCGTGAAACTGATATATTGATTTTTGTGGAGCCCCTTCGGCCCTCGACCATCCCTTGTCATGCCGCCCCCCTGACATTCCCATCTCCATCCCCCCTGCATAATCACCCCCGCCCCCCACAGGCGTGCTGCTCTGGGAGATGCTCCAGGGCGGGCCCCCCTATGCGGGCATGACCGCCGGCCAGGTCCTGCACGCCGTCAGCACTGGCGCCACCCTGGGCGTCCCGCCCGCCGCGCCGGACGCCGTGCAGCTGCTGCTGGCGCGCTGCCTGGACCCTGAGCCCTCAAACAGGTGCGATGCCCCCAAGGGTGCCCCACGCCGGCGGTGCTCCCGCGCCCCACGCATGCCGTCCGCTGCAGCAATCCCATATGGCAGCCTGCAGCTGAGTCCGTGCTCCCGCTTCTGTTCAGCCAAACCCCGGCCGTTTCACACCGACTGATGGCCCCCGCCGCGTGGTGCGTGCGCGCCCCGTCGCCCAGGCCCACCTTTTCAGAGGTGGTCGCGTCGCTGCGTGGCCTGGAGGCGCTGTCCCCCTGGAGCTGACGTCATCGCCGCGTCGGGCAGCCGCCCCGTGCCCTGGCGGGCCGGCCGGGCGCGGGGCCAGATGCACTCGGCCGTCAACGCAGGATTTTATGGAGCCGTGCCTTCTGTGGGCGCCGAGGACGGGTGATGGCAGCGTGACATCATTGCAAAATCTTCTTCCGGTGCCTGCGAGGTTGCTTTGCCCCACACAAGGATTGCTTGTGGTTTCGTTTGTGGGATTGAGAAGCTTCCTGGGCCGCCGCCGGCTCGACACCAATTACCATGCGGCAGGTCGCGCGGACGATTCCCGCCGGCGTTTCCGCTTTTCTACCACCCGGCGGCCTCAGATCACGCCGTCCGCCTCCGCGGCGCTCTCGTATTTGAGCCCGCCTTTTGCCGCGGCCGTGCGTCAGCGCAGCCCTCGCATCTGACGCCATCATATACCACGGCCCTTCGCCAGGCGGGCCGCATCCCGGCCCCTCTGACGGCATGCCGGCCGCCGCTCGTTCTGCGCCCCAGCCGCTGCCTCATCCATCAAGGCGCCCGTGGCGCAGCCACCCCATGTTTGCAGCCCTCAAATTTGCGCAGCTGCGGTCGATTGCCCATCGGCCACGGCCAAAGGACCTATCTTTCATAAGGGGTGTTGTGAAAGATACCACCCCGTAATGGAGTCTCCAGCTGCGCGCTGCGCTCTGGCACGCGCGCAAGCATTCCGTCGCACCTCACCGGGCTACAGCCTCGCCAGCCCAGCCGGGCTTGGCCTGCGCCCCTCCTGCTTTTTGTGCCCCCGCGCTCACCCGCCTGCCAGGGCGGCGCGCGGCGGCGGCCCAGCGCCCCACCCCGCCCTAATCTCCGGCCCTCGCCGGCGGCTGCACAGGCGCCAGGTCCCTGTGCCCTCTTCCCCACTCACCCCCAAAAGTGCCACCTCGGAGGCCCGTCGCAATCTGGACGGCGACAGTTCTCGCGCACACACGCCCAACCGGCCGGGCACATGCCCAGCGTCGGGGCGCTTCGACAAAAAACATGTGGTCAGGGCGCGGGGCGTTGATTGCCCCGGCAGCAAGCACGAGGGCGTCGATTGCCCATGAGGATGCACACGGGCCAGGGCCCTCAGGTGTGCGGCCACTAACAAGGAGTCGGCATTTATCGCGCCACTGTTGCCCCCTTGGAAGAGCGCCCCGCAGCGCTCACGCGCGGGTCATGTACACACCCTATTTTGCCTCCCCGGTTCAACCCCTCAAGAGTCGCAATGCCGAAAGGCCGATAAAGAAACCATTCGCCGACCCCTCTCCCCAGCCCATGTTATAAGGAGCGCGCCGCGTGTCCCAGGCACGCCATACACACGCAACAAAAGCCTGCAACAATTTGACCCGCCATACAACAATTGCACACATACACCGCGCTTGCCGCTTGCCATCTTCTGCCAACCAAGCTGGCTTTGTGCCGCCGCGATGCGAGGCACGGCGGCCCATGGCTCCCCAGGGCCGCTCGTCGATTGCGTAGGGCGGCCCATGGCTCCCCAGAGCCGCTCATTGATTGCGTGCAATGGGATTGCTGCCCGTGGTTTCCAGAGCGGTCCATTTGAGCAGGCTCCTCGGCCCGATGTGCATGCAACTGGCTGCGCCAGGCGCGGCCCCGTCGCCTTGAAATCCCCCACAACCCCGCAATGCCTTGCTCACTTGTGTCTCTTACTGCAATGTGTGTGTGCCTTTCGTGTGTGACTCAGGGGCAGGCTGAAATTGACATAAAATTGTGCCGCCGCTTTCCGGCAACTCGCCCCCAACGTGGCCAAGAAACCCCAGTCCAGCCACCACTTTGCGCGCGGTGTATACATCGCAGCAGCATGCAACAGCCCCCTGAAAACCTCACATTTGCTGGGGCTGCCGTGTCGTTCTTACGCGCCCGGACGTCAGTGGTACTGTACCTGCTGCTTCCCTCATCACAGACGATGGTGGCAAGTCAGCAATCCAGCGGCTGCCGTTTCGCCGCTCGCTTTCTCTCAGGTGTCGCTCGCCGCTCCCGCCGGGTCCCGTCTCACTGCCCCGCAGTGCTCCCGGCGTTCGTCGCAAAGGCGAGGCTGCGGGCGCCGGCGGCTCGCCGACCACCGAGGGGCGACTGCCGTGAGCTGCTGCGGGGCGCTGCTCGGAGCCGTGCACGGCTTTGCCGCGCCAGCAACAGGCCGTGCTGGAAGACGGGCGTGCTAGCGCCATCCATCCCCGTTTGTTTGATTAGCCCCGCATGCCACCTGGAAGTGCACGCACGTGCCATGATTGATGGTGCAATCCACTCGGCCTCAGTAATTTGGGAGCAGGATTCAGATGCTGGAATGTTTGAGAGTGTCAGCACAGCCCAAGCTTCTCCACTTAAAACTGGCAGTTGCAGTGACCCACCACCAACAAAATCAACGCATTTGGTCTACCCATTCGGGCGGTCATGCCAACCTGCTGGTAGGCCTCCTTGTTTGTTTGAGCCTTCCTGCAGCCGTGTCAGCAGCAAGCGTGCTCAGGCCCCGGGTGCCCTGAAAGCGGAAATCAGCGGAAATCTTTGCGTTTTGCGATGTGCAATAATGCTTGGATGCGTGCGATAAGATCTTGTTGCATGTGGCAGCGGCGGTGCGGCAGGTAGGGCGGCCCCATGGTCGCAAGAGGCCGCCGCCCTGTGTTGGCGGGGCGCAACAAGCTTGCCAGTCCGTGTTACATGGTGCATCCGGGCCGCGCTGCGCCTATTTCGAACTCATGCTTCACCGCGCACAGGAAGGTCAAAACTCAAACAAAAACAAAGGGGATCCCTTCGAAACCCTTGAAAGTCGGTGCCAAGACTGCATATGATACTGTATGAGAGGGCAAGGAGGGCGCCATGGTCAGGGGCTACCGGGCGCCAGGGGCTAGCGCAAATAGAAACTCATACACAAGGACACATACATATACAAGGACGCGCAAGGTCGGCGCGTCGCCAGGTCAGCAGTTTGATCACCTCGGGTGCGCGTGCGTTTGCGTGGGTGGGTCCAAACGTTGTTAGGTCGGAGGCGCACAAGAGAGTGCGCGCTGAGGTGAGGGCGGAGCTCGGGATCGCTCATCAGGCGGAGAGCGCAGTTGACCGCGCCCTATATCAGGGGGGCGCTCGCCCGCCGCTCGGTCATGTGCAGGCCGGAGAGGCGGGGCGTCGCGTCGGCCTGTGCGCCCATCAGCGACGGGCCGCGCCGCCCCACGGGTTCGCCCCGCGTCATTTCCACGGGCTGCCCCCGCTCCGGCCGGCCCCGGCCCTTGGCAGGGGGTGCAAGCAGGCGCGCGCTGCGAGCATGCAGGCTGCGTGCGACGAGTGATTATGAGGGTGGGGAACGAGGCCTGCCCACCCTCAACGCACGGCACAGCGGCGCGTCCTTTGTCAGCGGAGGTGGCATGCATCTGGGTGTTTTGAACCCCCCATGCGCCGCTTCGGCACTGCTGCCACCTCCCTGGGCCAGCGCTTGGGACGGATGCACCAAGTGAGCAGGAAGGGTCTGTGTAGAAAGTGCAAGTTTGACCCGGGCTGGGAACGAGGATCCGGGCCATCGTGGTCGCGAGGAAACCAGCTGATGTCCTTGGCGGGCTGAGCCTGCTGCCACATACAGTATCAAGTTGAAGGGCCTCAAGGGGTGAGCCAATCCAGGGGCCGCCGCATGCCCAAACCAAGGCGCAGGTTGAGGTCAAGTGCATGTACATGTGCACAGGTGGGCGGGTGAGGCCCCTCACCCACCCGGTGCTCAGGCATGGCGCGTGCAGACGTGGCGGGTTTTTGGCGGTGTGAGGGGGGGTGCAGCTGGGCAATTCGGGTGGCGCCCTCGCGCCGCGCGCAGCCGAGCCGCGCGCATGGCGCCGCGCGCCTCACTGCCGGGGGCGGATCAAAAGAGCCCCGGGCTGACATGGTAGTACAGCAGGAGCAGGCCCAGGCCTGGGCCTGCAGGCTAGGTGCATGAGCCACGAGCTCGTCAACGCCTTGTGCTGGCTGCTCGGGCAGCCAACACGGTCAAAATTTGAGAGGGGAGCTGGGACGTAACGAACGAGCGGCGAGGGCGGCACACCGCTGCAAAAGGTGTGAGCGATGCGGGCGCGCCGCGGCGGGCACGCGGCGGGCCTCAAGAGATGGGCGCCGGTCAGTCTGACCGATTGCCACGAGCCACCCAGGCTTGCGTGGGCGCGAGCGGCGCGCCCAGCACGACTGCGCTTCCTGCAAGCGGGCATTGGCGCCTCACGGGCGACGAGCCAAGCGGTTTAGGGCAAGCGGTGTTGCTGCCCGGGCGCGATCTCAAGCGCCGCAGGCGTGGTGGCATGAGAGAGGGGTTGCACGAGGGGTGCGCCGCGCGCAAGGCGGCATTTCATTCCGACAACCCACACAATTTTGCTGTTGCCGCCGATTCCCTGTGACAGTTGAAAAATTGGCCAAACGTGCAGCCGGGTAGCAGCCCGCAAGCGAGCAGACGCTCGCCCGGCACACGCGCAAGGCCTGAGAGAGCACGCAACCCAGCCCCGGGCGCCGCGCAGGCGGCAGCCTGGCTGACCACGCCGCCGCAGGCGCGAGCAGCAGTCCGGCGACCGCGGGTGCCACCACCGGCGACCCAACAATGAGAGCGCCCGGGGCGCGCGGGGTGCTACCAGGGGCTTGCACAACAAAGCACTGCTGCTGCTGCTGCTGCTGCTGCTGCTGCTGCTGGTGCTGCTGCTGCTGCCGCGGTGGCCGCGACGGCAGGTAGAGCTGTGGCCCCAAGCGCGAGATAAGGATTTGGGAAACAGGGCTGCCGTCGCCGCCGCCGCCGCTAACGCCTCCATGTACAATATCATCTGGCAACTGGATGCTGAGCCCCCCCTGCGCAGCCGCCCAGGCCGCGGCCCGCGCTTGCAGGGGCTGCGCCACGGCAGGAGAAGCGGCGGCTCGGGCGCTGCAGGGGTCTCCGGCCAGCAGAGGCCTGGCGGCGGCGAGAGCACGCCGCCGTCGGCCCCGGCGCTGGCGGCGATGCGGGCGGGCGCGGCAGCCTGGCAAGGCGGCGAGCCGTCGAGCAGCCCGGCGCATGTGAGGGCTGGCGGCGGCAGCAACGGCAGGGGGGCAGACAGCTGCACAGGAGTTTGCGGCTCGAAGAGAGTGGGGGCGGCCCACGCAAAGTCCTGGCCCCACATCAGTTGCTGCAGCTGCTGCTCTGCGGAGGTAAATAGCGCCTGCACCTGCGGCCCCAAGCCGGCCCGCCCATTAGCTGCTGCTGCAGCCATCAGGCCCGTCAGGGAGCAGCAGGCGCTCTCGATGGCGGCTGCGGCTGCGGCCGTGGCCACGGCCGCGCCCGCGGCCGCTGCTGAAGCTGCGGCCGAGGGTCCCCCGTCGGGTGTCCTGAGCTCGCTGGGACAGTGGGCGAGGAAGCAGATCTTGTGCTTGCAGGCGGCGCCGCCTCTGCAGAGGCTCGTCTTGTCTGCGCCCGTCACGGGGGAAGTG